ACTGAGGCACAAGAGTAAGTGACTTGCATTGGTGACCTATATTAGAGGTCAGCAACCTATGGGCTGTAAGCTGGATCCAGTCCACACAGCAGGAGTAGGCAACTTTTTTGGCCGGAGTGACAAAAACCCTGCAATATCTACCTTGTAAGGTACTGGAGAGCTGGCATGCCAGGAAAACAAAACCAGGGTGGGGGGAACGTGGCAGGACACTGAATATTAATACAGTTAATCATAGATTCATAGATTGTAAGGCCAGAAGGGACCTCGGAAAATCATTGGGTCCAGCCCCCTGCACCAAGCAGGAAAGATAACTGGGGGTCAAGTGACCCCAGCAAGGTGACTATGTCCAGTCTCGTCTTGAAGATTTCCAAGGAAGGTGATTGCACCACCTCAGGAGGGAGCTTATTCCACAGTCTGGACACCCTGACTATGAAGAAGTTTTTCGTAATGTTGAGTCTGAATTGATCTTCCAGGAGTTTGTGGCCATCATTCCTGGTTTTCGCCTCCAGTGCCCTGATGAAGTTGCTCACCGAGCCCTTAATGTACTCCCCTAATGTAGTGGTGAACTGCTACCAGGTGCCCTCTCAGCCTTCTTTTTCTCAGGCCGAAGAGTCCCAAATCCCTCAGCCTTTCCTCATATGGCTTGCTTTTTAAGACTCTTCTTTGGACTCTCTCAAGCTTGTCCACATATCATCATAGATGTTGTTTGTTTTTTACAGTAAATGCCAGGTTTTCTAAAAATTCTATACCTGGTGACAACATATAAAACTTCATATACTACCTTTGTTGTTGTGTATTTTTTTTTAAACATATTGTGATGAGAGAGAAAAAGAGAGAGAGGAAGAAAAAAGAAGGGGGAGAGAAAAGAGAAACCTGCTAATATTGTGGCAGGGGGCAGAGTAGGCCCTTGGTCACAGGGTCCTACCCCACTCCTACCAACACTACTCCTGTCTTCTGTTCCTTCACCTACTGTACCTTGGCCTTAAATGGTAGGAAGAACAGAGAGAGACAGGGGTTGACACCTGATTGTCCTTGGCCTTTACAGTGAGGCTTGGAAGATCACATCCTGGGTCTTCATATGCCACCCCTACACCATGCCCATACTCTCCAAAGAGATGTTGCCATGGAAAATGTTGGTTCTTTAAGGATACACTTACTTAATTCCTTAAAATAGATGCTCTGTATTCACTGCCATAAACAAGCAAAAATGCTCTCAAGTAAAAAGCTTTTCTTAGTGGCTGCCTTAGCCCTGCTTCTGACAGCTGAGTTTGGTGATGTTAGGCTGGTAGCTGGTTGTTAAACACAAACATGTATCCAAATGGTCAGTCATCAGATGGTTTCTCATAGGACCGAGTATGGTTTTCATTTGTGAAAACACGTGTTCACAGCGATAAGTAGATCCAAAGACAGACAGCAAGGCAAAAGCTACTTATTTATTCATGCATACTTTTCAGGAAGGGAAGACCAACATAATGTAATCTTGAGTTACCATTCCCTTTCATTCTCAAATTTACCTTGCAGTGATGTGAACTTCAGTGCCCAGATGCATGAGCTTTGAAAGTCAAGGAGTACCAATTTAAATCCTTCAGTGTTCATCCACTGAAAGTACCGCAGTTCAATATCACTTTCCCTAGTACTGTCCAGGTTCACAAGAAATGAAAATATGAGTCCTCTGTTGCAAAAGTCTTGGAAACATCTGGTGTACTCATCTTCCAGCTGTCCTATGTAGTTGCATATATTCCTATTATTCAATTGATGCTGCTCGGAATGGATTTTCAGACTGGGGTAGTAACAGAAGGCAGACGTTTCGATATCTCATCTGAAAACAGACATCTTATCGCAGAAAGCTTTCCAGTCGTCAGACAGCTGAAGGATGGTTTTCTGTGTTCCTTGTAACCTAGTATTCAAATAATCTAAATGTGATGTGATGTCTGTCAAAAACATCAGTTTTGTTAGCCACCTGTCATCAGTAAGGTCTGCATATTGCTGACCACTTTTTTCAAGAAATAACTAGATGGATTCGAGACAAGCAACAAATCGCTTGAGCATGTTACCTCGACTCAACCAGTGTACATTACTGTGCAGCACTAAATCTCCGTATGCAAAATCCACATCGTTTAAAAGTTCACGGAATCCCCTGTGTGTCAAAGAGGAGCGGGCAATCAAAAAGCTGACATTTTCACACCATTGTCATGATTTCATTTAAATCAGAAGATGAAATCTTAGCGCACAGGCTCTCCTGATGAATAATACAATGGAAACTTATAAGAGGATGTCCAATCTAAGTTTCCAGAAGCTTTACAAATCCAACTGCTTTACCCACCATAGCAGGTGCACCATCAGTGGTAACAGAGAACACTTTGTGCAGGTCAGTTTGTTGCAGTGTGAAAATAACTTTGACAACATTAAGCATAACATTGGTCTTTGTTGTGCTTTGCATAGCACGCAAAGAAAACAATTCCTCCCAACTTCCCCAGAGACAAAATATCAAACAATTATAGCAAGGATTATGTGGGATATCATTTATGTCTGTGCTTTCACCTAGTGCAAGGCTCATCGCATCACAAGTATGGAGGTCTCGAGTCACTTGTTCCCTAACATTAGTTGCCATTTCATCTATTTTAGCCTTTGAACAGTCATGGATGACAGCGGCATTTCATCAGTATGAGCAATGATGTCTTATTGGCAAAATCCTCAGCACGTTTTAAGAAAGAATCCTTTAAGTTGTCTCCATCTGTAAAACACTTGCCTTTCCAAACTTTGGTTTTTTACTATCCATAGTTATATATTGATATGCCTTCTACCTGTAAAATTTCCTGAAGTTCACACAAACCAAAGGCAGCACAAACAATTTAAACAGGCAAAGAGAAAGGAGAAAATCAGAAAGAACTGAATTATTTGAAGTACATGTAAATCTGGGTAAGTATTTCCAAGAAGGCAGTCGAAGTGCAGAAAAAACACACACACAAATGAGCAACATGTAGTGTTTAAATCAAGGAACGCAAAGCAGAGAGATCAAGATAAACAGAATACGAACAGTTTTAATAAAGTAAAAACCTGAAAAATATGAACTGGTTTAAGAGAATGAAAAACTGAATAAGAAATGATTTTCAGAGCAAAATAAACTGATTCATGTGAAGTGGCTTGAGAGAGAGCAAAAGCTATATATAAGTCCATTTAACAGAGCAAAATAAGCTGATTCATGTGCAGAGAGAGCAAAAGCTGAATATGAATCAAAATAACAGAGCAAAATAAACTGATTCATGTGAACTGACTTGAGAGAGCAGAAACTGAATATGAATCCATTTAACAGAGCAAAATAAAGCTGATTCATGTGCAGAGAGAGCAAAAGCTGAATATGAATCTGTTGAATAGAACAAAACAAACTAAACAGTACAAACTGGCTTGAGCGAGAGCAAAAACTAAGTCTGCAATAATTTAACAAAGCAAAATAAAATGGCATAATATGCAATCTTAAACTCTGTTTGCAGAATTGTTTTTTGTAAAAATATATGTCTATATGTATATGAGGTTATACATATCTATACTCCGAGTATCACTCCACAAAGAAAACCTTAACCCGTTACAAAAACCACACCCATACAAAGGCCCGTTGGCCACCTGGACCTATTACAATATCTGCCTTGCGCGCTACACACACACATATACACAAACTGGTCTCTCAGACCAGGCAACCCTTTCCTTTCATCCCCACAGAAATCAGCACTAGTAGCAACAGGCTACTGAGTGAACTGCCGCCCAGAGCCACATGCCTACCTCATATAAGTGGAGGGTGGGTGCAGCTGGGGGCAGGGTCCCTGCACCCCCTAGCAAGTAACTTCATGCCACTCTCTCTTCTTTTTCTAAATAGACATCTCTCTCACAAGGCTGTTGTATATTGCCAATTAGTTTGAATAGTAAACTGAACATGTAAAGGGTTAAGTGTTGTTAAATGCTGATTCGTAAGGATGTTGTTTCATGAAGGTGATAAAATACTGGTGAGAGACAATGGCCACCTTTTACCCCTTTTTTTTAAAGCATAACATACTGTTGACATCAATGACAGGTCCTACTCCTAGCAACCAATATATAATAATTTAGCTATTTTGCCTGTCTCTAATCAATCTACTGTAGCATAAACAAGCAGATGTGAAGTATGCTAACACTGTTTCCTGATCTCACCATCTCGGATTCTGGTAAGAGGCTATCCACACCACCAGCTTTGTGACTCATTCTTATGACAATCCAAAACTTTTCCTGGAATCTCTCTTTTCTACTTGGCAAGAATTGCATACATCTAGCCAAATTAGAAAGCTAACTTCTGAAAAACCGAATGCTTCTTTAGGCTTGCGCTTTCACAGTGCTTGTAAAATACTTGACTTGGGAGTTGTAATTCTTCCCACGAGTAACTTCCTTTCTTGTCACCTGCCTTACAGGAAGGCTACAGAGATGGAGTTGAGGCTGGAAAAGAACGTGCACTCCAGCAGGGCTTCAATCAGGGATACAGAGAAGGGGCCAAGATGATGAGGACCTGTGGCCAGTTCAAAGGGATTCTAAAGTAAGTTTTGAGACCATGATCTCTTTTTGAAATTCTAGCTGTACTATTATTCCAGTTCTAAGTGGTTTGGCGCTTGGGTCAGTGAAAGACAGAAGTGCTTAAAAGTTGGGCAGCACAACCTGAGAGAAATCTAGACTTCTGTGCTGGGCATCTAGGTGCTCCCTATACAATGCATGTAGAGACGTTGGCATCTCAGAATGTGATCCAAAACGGCCAGCATGCTCCAGCTGTCTAGAGGTAGCAAAGAAGAGACACTGAAGACAGGGAGAAAATCTAAAATCCCACCTTTTGGGGTTAGGTCTGAACTGTAGGGAGGCTGCTATTCACTCGGGATCCATAGCGGGTAGACTTTCCTAAAAAAACCTGTCTACAGCCACTGCCCCTCTCATACAAGCGGGGTGCGCACAGCTGGGGGCGGGCGAGTGCCTGTCCCACCTCCTCCAGGCTGTCCTGAGGGCACGTCACATCCGCCCCCTTCTGCCCCGCCCCTGAGTCTCCCGGCCCGGGGCGGGTGCGGAGAGCACAGACGGGGACAAGGGACCGGCCGGGTCGTGGTAGACGGCGCGTCCGGGCGGAGAGCGGCGCAGGAGCCGCGCGATGCTGTCCCAGCCCCTCCCCTCGAGGCGCGCATGCAGCTGGCTCAGCCCCGGGGCTCTGAAGACTGCGCCCCGTTCGCAGCTTGCCCACGCGGGAGGGTACCTGCTTCCCCCTGGGGGCGGGGCTGGACTGGGAGGTGCCGCCGTCCCCGTGCGGCTGGACCCAGCCCACTCTCGGCCCCGCCCGCGGAAGAGGTGGGGCCGCGAGCGCCTGAGCCGTCCCCACGTGAGTGCTAAGGCGCGCGCGCACCTCGGAGCAGGGGGCGGGGCCGGAGGCGTAGGCACCGCCCCTTTCGCGTGCTGTTTCCGCCCGCCCGGGAAGAGGGGTGGGGTTTAAGCGCTGCCCCCTCTTGCCAGAAGGGCCCAGTGAGCCGGCGGGTCCCGCTTCATACCACCGCCAGGAAACTGCTCGGGGTAAAACTCCTCGTTAGGAGCCGAGCACCCAGTCCCTCCGCGATTCAGTTAAATATAACTGTCCAGCACCGTGAAGTCAATCGGTCTACTTATTGCACACAAAGTTAAGGACACCAATCTTGGCAGGATTGGAGCTTGAGGTTGTGTCTTGGTCCCCAAAACGGGCACAAATAGTATTGAGGACTCGGGTGTTGTTTCAGAGGAGCTGGAGACGGGGTAAGCGCTGGCAAAAGCCAACAAATTGAGATGCACAACGTAGTTTTCTTTGACACAACCTGCCTTGCTCCTTTTGACAGACACTGCCTGGCATCTTGATGCAATGTGAAAGTAAACCTGAAATTGGGTTCATTGGTTTCTGAGGTTAGCTTTCCTCAAAAACCTGCCCTTCCTACCTGGGGTTCTGACTTAGTGCTGGGGTGGAAGCTCTGTTTGGCATCTGACTGTGCCTGTGGTGTTCCCAGGAGCTCCTGCTACCATGTCCTGGGTACAAGCTGCAGTCAGCAGGCCCAGCGAGGATGTATTCGATGAAGATGCTGATGAGATGCACCTCATACAAAAAGAGTGGAAGAGCACCATGGAGAAAAGGATCAAGGTAATCTTTATCACCGTCATGTTTTCAGTACCCTTTTAGCCGTTTTCTTTCCTACTGCTTAAATAATGCTTGTTTAAATAAGCAAAAGCGAGAATGGCTGCTTACAAATTAGGCCTGTGCGAAGCAGCAGGTATTCAATTCAGATTCAGCCAATTCAGAGGGACCGTGATTCGAGTTGCTGTCCTGATTCAATTCGGCCGAATTGGATCCAAAGATTGGGCGACAATTCAGAGATTCAACCGTAGACTAAACAGGCAGCAGTCCTCGACCATGCTGGCCACAGCTGCTTCCAGCTGATAAGTCCGTTGTGGTGGGCAGAGGTGGGAAAGAAGGGGCAGGGGGGGCATGCAGATCAGTGCCCCCACAGCAAGGTGGGGATTGAGGCTGGGGCTGGAGCTGGAGCTGGAGCTGGGGCTGGGACAAGCTGCCCAGTCGGGGCAGGGGAAGTACAGGATGTGGGAGAGGCAGCACTTGGAGCAGGAGCTATGCCCTGCTGCTGTTTGCCCAGCCGGGGGGTGGGGGGCATGATGGAGGTGCGGCTCACTCTGGGCAGAAGGCACTGGGAGAAGGGGCTCTGCCCTGCCGCCGCTAGTCCAGCCAGGGGGGCGTGCAATGCAGGCGCAGCTTGCTCCAGGCAGAAGGCACTGGGAGCGGGGGCTATGCCCTCCCGCTGCTCGCCCAGCCGGGGCAGGGAGGCACAGGACGGTGCCACTGCACTGCCTCGGACAAGTGGTGTGCAGTGGCAGAAGCTGTTGCAGCCTCCCTGTGCCACCTGGACAAGCCGCAGCTTCACCCCACCATGCCCCGGCTGGGCAAGCAGCAACAGTGCATTGGGGTGGGCGTGTGGACCCGGATTGAGGAGGGGCCAGCGGCAGGGGCTGTGGGGAATTTTAGGGTTGCTGCAGCACCCCCCATAGCCCCTACTTCTCTGCGCTCTGTGGGGTGGGCGGAGCCAGGGCTGCACTCTGGACTGAGGCTGGGGCTAGGTGCCAGGAGCACTGCCCAGGCCCTACCTACCCCACAGAGTGCAGCCCAGCAGCAGACAGCTGGAGCTAGCCTCCTGGAGCGCAGCCCGGCCCAGCCTGCCCCACGCAGATCCAGGGGCACACGCCCACTCCCATGCCCTCCCAGACCAATGGTGTCCAGTGGCAGGAGACTCCCGCCCCCTTACCCTGGCTGGACAGCTTGTCCCAGTCCCAATCCCTCCCTCGCTGTGGGGGTGTTGATATGCCCCCCACCCCATACCCCTTTCCTCCCCCCTCTGCCCATCACAACAGACTTACCAGCTGGAAGCAGCTGTGTCCAGTGTGGTAGAGGACTGCTGCCTGTTTACTCTCCGAATTGGCGCCGAATTGATTCAGAGGCTTCCGATTCAATTTGGACCTTTTAATGGTGTCCTGATTCAATTTGGAGATTTGGCCGCCAAATCAGGCCAGATCTCCTCCGAATCAAATTGGCTACCGCAGTTTCACACAGCCTTATTAAAGATCACGATGGTTCAGTTTCTTCTGAGTGACTTGAAAACTGAACAGAATTAATGAAATGATGCCAAGTGGAACATATTTGAGATTCTTTTATTAAGAGACTGTCTGAGTGTTCCTGAAAATCCAAAAATTTATAACCACAATCCTGAATGCTTAACTCTACCCCAGATTAAATATTCATACACATTCACTATTCAGTTACAGTTTATAATGATGGACTCTTGCTGCATAATTGTACGTAAATCTATTCCTGCAAATACTCATGGGCTTTCTGCTTACAAATTCCAGTGCATCAACAGACACACACATGCTTAGTGGCAAAAATAAGCAAAATCAGTCATGTGATCATTCACCTTTTTGATAGGGAACACTGTCATAGCAGAATTGTTGCTAAATATCTGCTGCATTCTGTCTTTAAAAAGGTGGGAACTGAGAGGTGTGGTGGGCTTGAAAAGTCTTCTAACCTCAATTTGTAGCTTTGCCACTGACCTTCTTTGTGGCCTTGGGCAAGTAACTTAATCTCACTCTCTCATCTACTTTTATAAAATAATAGACATCTCTCTCACAAGGGTTGTGTATATTGACAATTAATTTATATAGTAAACTGAAAATGTAAAAGGTTAAGTGTTGTAAAATGCTGATTCATAAAGAAGTTGTTTCATGAAGGTGTTAGACACTGGTAATTGAGAGACAAGGACCACCCTTTACTATTTTTTTTTAAGCATAACATGCTGTTGACATCAATGACAGGTCATACCCGTAGCAACCAATATATAATAATTTAGCTATTTTGCCTGTCTCTAATCAATCTACTATAGCATAAACAAGCAGATGTGAAGTATGCTAACACTGTTTCCTGATCTCACTGTCTCTGATTCTGGCAAGAGGCTATCCACACCACCAGCTTTGTGACTCATTCTTATGACAATCCAAAACTTTTCCTGGAATCTCTCTTTTCTACTTGGCAAGAATTGCATACATCTAGCCAAATTAGAAAGCTAACTTCTGAAAAACCAAATGCTTCTTATGCTTGTGCTTTCACAGTGCTTGTAAAATACTTGACTTGGGAGTTGTAATTCTTCCCACGAGTAACTTCCTTTCTTGTCACCTGCCTTACAGGAAGGCTACAGAGATGGAGTTGAGGCTGGAAAAGAACGTGCACTCCAGCAGGGCTTCAATCAGGGATACAGAGAAGGGGCCAAGATGATGAGGACCTGTGGCCAGTTCAAAGGGATTCTAAAGTAAGTTTTGAGACCATGATCTCTTTTTGAAATTCTAGCTGTACTATTATTCCAGTTCTAAGTGGTTTGGCGCTTGGGTCAGTGAAAGACAGAAGTGCTTAAAAGTTGGGCAGCACAACCTGAGAGAAATCTAGACTTCTGTGCTGGGCATCTAGGTGCTCCCTATACAATGCATGTAGAGACGTTGGCATCTCAGAATGTGATCCAAAACGGCCAGCATGCTCCAGCTGTCTAGAGGTAGCAAAGAAGAGACACTGAAGACAGGGAGAAAATCTAAAATCCCACCTTTTGGGGTTAGGTCAGAACTGCAGGGAGGCTTTGCCATTCACTTGGGATCCATAGTTGGTATACTTTCCTAAAAAAAAAACCCCAGGTGTCTATATTTTTTCCTTTCCATAAACTGAGTGGTGATGGTGCCTATGCTCATCACACTGTGTAATGTCCTATTGGACAGAGCACTTGCCCAGGAAGCAGGAGTTCTAGGTCCAAACCCACATCTTCCATCTCTAATAATCAGGCTTCAAACTTTTTTGGGTGGTGGATTTTCTCCCTAGTCCTGTTGAAGCTGTTCCATTGTGCACAAGAGAGTTACCGGGCCTAAGTGGGAGGAAGCATGACTCTGCATCCAAGCAGTTAGAGCACTCACTTGGGAAGGAGGACCCTAAGTTTCTGGTCCATGCTTCAGGAACTTATATTTTTGCTTTAAACAAACATTGGTTAATATAGAATTAATCCTTGGAGCAGACACTAGGAATTAAAACTATCTTACCATGCTGGAGAGATCCCTAACCACTAATTACAGTCTTTTTCCACTTTGAAGTTGAGGGGGCATGGCCTGCTATAGAATCTAGAGTCTCTCTGCCTTACTGGGCATGGCTTTTGGGAGTAAGCTTGTCTCACTGCCAGCACCCCTGGACTCGCTCTCCTGGACCTCTTGCCACTGTCACTGGACCCTGTGTTGACACTAGTCCCTAAACCACTGCAGCAGCCCTCATGCACCTGTAGTCCAGATCCAACCCAGGACCACAGGGGAGTTTGACATCTCTGCCCAAGATGCCTGAATTTCTGTCACTGAGTATACAAAGTATTGTTGAACTGTTGATACCACAGCTAGCAAGGCCTTTCTCAAAATGAAGCCACAGAGTAACATTTTAAAAGTACTAATCAATCTACTATAGCATAAACAAGCAGATGTGAAGTATGCTAACACTGTTTCCTGATCTCACTGTCTCTGATTCTGGCAAGAGGCTATCCACACCACCAGCTTTGTGACTCATTCTTATGACAATCCAAAACTTTTCCTGGAATCTCTCTTTTCTACTTGGCAAGAATTGCATACATCTAGCCAAATTAGAAAGCTAACTTCTGAAAAACCAAATGCTTCTTATGCTTGTGCTTTCACAGTGCTTGTAAAATACTTGACTTGGGAGTTGTAATTCTTCCCACGAGTAACTTCCTTTCTTGTCACCTGCCTTACAGGAAGGCTACAGAGATGGAGTTGAGGCTGGAAAAGAACGTGCACTCCAGCAGGGCTTCAATCAGGGATACAGAGAAGGGGCCAAGATGATGAGGACCTGTGGCCAGTTCAAAGGGATTCTAAAGTAAGTTTTGAGACCATGATCTCTTTTTGAAATTCTAGCTGTACTATTATTCCAGTTCTAAGTGGTTTGGCGCTTGGGTCAGTGAAAGACAGAAGTGCTTAAAAGTTGGGCAGCACAACCTGAGAGAAATCTAGACTTCTGTGCTGGGCATCTAGGTGCTCCCTATACAATGCATGTAGAGACGTTGGCATCTCAGAATGTGATCCAAAACGGCCAGCATGCTCCAGCTGTCTAGAGGTAGCAAAGAAGAGACACTGAAGACAGGGAGAAAATCTAAAATCCCACCTTTTGGGGTTAGGTCAGAACTGCAGGGAGGCTTTGCCATTCACTTGGGATCCATAGTTGGTATACTTTCCTAAAAAAAAAACCCCAGGTGTCTATATTTTTTCCTTTCCATAAACTGAGTGGTGATGGTGCCTATGCTCATCACACTGTGTAATGTCCTATTGGACAGAGCACTTGCCCAGGAAGCAGGAGTTCTAGGTCCAAACCCACATCTTCCATCTCTAATAATCAGGCTTCAAACTTTTTTGGGTGGTGGATTTTCTCCCTAGTCCTGTTGAAGCTGTTCCATTGTGCACAAGAGAGTTACCGGGCCTAAGTGGGAGGAAGCATGACTCTGCATCCAAGCAGTTAGAGCACTCACTTGGGAAGGAGGACCCTAAGTTTCTGGTCCATGCTTCAGGAACTTATATTTTTGCTTTAAACAAACATTGGTTAATATAGAATTAATCCTTGGAGCAGACACTAGGAATTAAAACTATCTTACCATGCTGGAGAGATCCCTAACCACTAATTACAGTCTTTTTCCACTTTGAAGTTGAGGGGGCATGGCCTGCTATAGAATCTAGAGTCTCTCTGCCTTACTGGGCATGGCTTTTGGGAGTAAGCTTGTCTCACTGCCAGCACCCCTGGACTCGCTCTCCTGGACCTCTTGCCACTGTCACTGGACCCTGTGTTGACACTAGTCCCTAAACCACTGCAGCAGCCCTCATGCACCTGTAGTCCAGATCCAACCCAGGACCACAGGGGAGTTTGACATCTCTGCCCAAGATGCCTGAATTTCTGTCACTGAGTATACAAAGTATTGTTGAACTGTTGATACCACAGCTAGCAAGGCCTTTCTCAAAATGAAGCCACAGAGTAACATTTTAAAAGTAGGTGTTTTCCTTCTTATTCTGACAGGGGCTTCAAAGGGAAAGGAGAATATTTGATCTCTCCTCACCTGTGAAAGACCCAGGTTCAAGTTCCTGCTTGACCTGACTAGAATAAGATTTTAAACCTCAGTTTCCCACAGTCTAGGTACTCCACCTGCTGTCCTAGTGTAAGTTTCTGGCTCCTATAAATGGAGCAAATAAGACTCAACCAGCCCCAAATGCCCAGTAGCCTGGTGTTTATAGAGACCCATGTTCTTGTACAAGAAAGTGTTCTGATTGCTGAGACCTTAGCTATTCTGGCCCATCTCTATTTTTGTGGGCAGGGAAATTAGGTTTAGGCACACAACTCCAGGTTGAAATGTAAAGCCAAGCTTCCCTGCAGACACAGATGCCTACCTACCTAAAATGTGGCAATTCTAAACAGTCCATCTCTAGTTAACATGATCTTAGTTGTTTAGTGAATTATAATTTGAATCTACCACTTTGGATGGATAGTCAACTCCACCAGTTGAACTTTCCCAAAAATCCATGTGAACAAGGTGCCCACAGATATGGTCTGAGTTTAACTTGTCTTGTCATCTGTTCACACATCCTCAAGGAAGCATGCAGGCTACTTGCTCATCTTTGTTTTGTTTTTCTTCTCTACAGTGCTCTCTTATCTTGGTGTCACCTTAACGGACATGATTCTGCTCTGCTGAGCAAGATAAATGATCTCCTGGATGCAGTTGGCAAATATGAAGAGCATGTGCTGAAGTGTCTGAATTCTGTCCATCCACAGCCCCACCTTGGGGAGTTACTGGATTCAGTTCAGGATATGGACCTTAGCTGTACAATCCCAGCTGAGGAAGAGTTTAATGGAACTAAATCTGAAAGACCCTGTGGAAGTGGTGCCACGTTCAGTGAGAGCTGTTTCAGGAGTAACGGTGAGGCTGACTCTGTGCAGTCTGAGAACTGTCAGACAAAAAAACATGGAGATTCAGAAAGTCCAACCCTTGCTTGGATTAAAGAACAGACTGTTTGCTTAATACAGCAACTAGGCTTGTCATGGGATATATTACAGCTTATCCAGCAGCTTTAAAATTAACTTCTGTGGGTTTCTCTTTGGTAACATTCATAAAACAACAATGGTAGAATTGCATTTTGTTTATAAATAAGACATAGGATGTCAGCTAAATTACTTATTTGATGTTGCCAATAAAACAATGTCTATTTTATAATGCTCCGTCATACCTCTGCTCTTGGCAAAAAATGTTGCTTCCCTATGTAAACTTAACATACATAGGTGAATATGACAGAAGCACAGTTGCATAGCAATTTAGTAGTACCTCTGTAGCAATACTGTTGTGTGACTGATGCTTTGTGGGGAATCTAACATTCTACTCTGACTTGTCCTTTATCATTGTTTTTCAGAAAAGAAATTAGACTCATCCTTAAATAGTTGCTCCAATGGTACTGAAAATGAATATAAGCATTGACTTTTTTCTCTTTTTAGTCTGTATGTAGAGTTCCTAATAGCAAATGGGAACTGCACATGCCGAACATGCTCCTTGGCAGACTGACATTGCTCCAGCTTATTGGTTAAGAAGAGAACAATAAGCTACATTTTTCAAGTACTCAGAATCTCTGGTGTATCTCGTAGTATCACTTCCTCTGGTAAAGTGGCTGTGCAAAGAACAAATCTTTTCCTCAAGCAAGTGTTTAGCACACAAAATGCTTCCCATTAGAGTTTCACTAATGTATAAATAAGACTTCATTTAAAGTGAACAGGCTTCTTGTTAATGTTAAGCTGTAGCATACTTGGGCATAATTCCTCCTCAAACAGTTAAGGTGTCTTGTACAATTCAAAAGCTGTGCCTTGGTCTCTTGCCAAGAGCTGTCCTCAGATGACCTAGCTGTAGATGGGTATATAGTCATTTTGACTGGGAAGTAAAAGGTAGATGGGCATGATGCTAACCACCTTACCCTATTATGTGTCATTGGCTACAAGAGCAGGCATGCTTTAATTATGCTAGTGCCATGAGCAGCTAAACAGGGGAAGACATTTGGCCCTTAACCTTTAGTAGTAATGTGTGTTCACCAAAGGGTTAAAAGGATTTCTGCCAGTGTCCTCCAGCACCATGCAGGTGGCTACATGCATATTTGGCTAATCCATTAATGACTCAAAATGTAGCACAACTACTCTGCTGAAGAAGCAGGGATTCAAAGAAGGGTGTCAGCTTTCCTCAGAGGCAGAGAGAGGAGGATGGTGTGGTTAGCTGAGGCACTAAGAGGCGTATAGCCACTGCAAAATCACTGTAGTATGACCTATGCTTAGGCACAGTAGCCTCTAGTCCCCTTTTGGGTGTGAACAGATGTAACATTTGAAGCCCTTCAGATGCCTTTGAAGCACTTCTGAGGGCAAGTGGGATAGACATGCATACCCTTTAAGCATTCCAAAAATAGCCCTGAAGGCAACAGGTATTAACTAGAAGCCATGGACAACAGGGGCCACCAGATTGCTGATGGGAAGCCGATTGCCGACTCGGATGGGAGGGAGATCCCAGCAGGTGATTGCCAAGCCAGCGGCAAAACTGGAAATGCACTTCTGCTGGTGCTTCCAGTTTCATGGCTAGCGCTTTCAGGTGGGGTGTGTGCATGACCTACATGTCGCCAGTGCTAGAGGCACTTCAAAATGAAGCCCTTCCTGTCACATATATATACTCTATAGTGTAGCAGGAGACCCCTGGGTCCTCCAGCATCCCACAGTGCTCTGCTCTTGCCCCTCAGCATGTGGAGAGAGTGGAGAGGAGATCAGGACACTGAGCTCTCCTGAAGCCCACCAGAACTGGGATTAGTGATCTCCAGCCCCAACTCTCCTTATGCCTCGCTGCACCTGATCTCCTGGTTCTAGCAGAGGTAAGGGACCTCCAGTTTCCTGGGGTGTGGATGGAGTTGACAGGATTGAATAATGGTTCACTGACATTGGCCCTACTCTATTTCCCCCACACTTGGGAGGCAAAGAAGACCATAGGCCCTGGAAGAATGGGGGCTGCAGAGCTACAGCCCTCTGTTGTGGCCCCTGACTGGCAAGCATACCACTATTTTCAATATTTCAACTGAGGGGTGCAACACAGAAGCACAAATCCAACTGAAGCTGAAGTGCCCTATTTTTAAAGCATTTCGAACAATAGGCCTCTCCCTACGCATCTACCATACCAAGTGGGTGATATGGACCTTGCTTGTATTCCCCAGTTGCTAATCCTTATACAGTCAACTTCACATGATACACATCAGATAAGAGCATAATTTATGTAACTGCATAATGTGAGACAGATCTCGCTTGCCAGTTGCTTATGTTATAACAGACACTGCTTATAAACATATCGGTTAAGTATGTAAACTGCTTAAAGTGCGCAACATCTTTTGGTCCCACTGTCTACTTTGTAATGTAATTGTACTCTAACTATAATAATTGGAGTCAGAAATGGTAAACCAGAAACAGTTGTCAAAGAGCTGTTATTAGAAGCCTGCAACATGACAAAATAACAGCCCTTAAACTGACTAGCGCCCCTCCCTTTTGAAGCTACTAGTAGCAGCTCTGAAACTGCCTATTAAGAAACATTGAATATGATGAGACCTGACCAGTTTGGGGGTAGCTAATGCCATGGTACTGACAGCTGTTGAAATGGGTGCTTAATGAGCATGATTTATATTGAGCCTGTGTAAGTGCGTAACTTTTTTTCAGTCCTGGAGTTACGCACTTAAATAGTTGGTCTAATAAAAGATATCAAATTCACCCGAGGAACCTTCTCTGCACTTAAATAGTGTACATTGTATTCAAGTTTTGCAGATATACTAAAAATAACTGTGTAAGGTTCTTGCCGTTCTTGGAAATTTCAGAACTGTCAGCTGGGATTCAGATGGACAGAATCAGAGAATTTATTCTAACCTAGTTTTAACAGCTTAGTAAAAATTCTACCTCCTAATACCCGTTCTCCCTTCAAGTAGACTCCCTTGTCTAAAACTTCCTTCTTGACCACATCCATCACTTGTTTATGGTTTTCCTTTTAGTGTCTTTAGTTAAAGAGACTTTTACAACTATCTTCTATACATCACTCTCATAAACAGCCAAATGATTTTATGGCTTTTACTTTCACCTTCTCTATGATAAACTTCTAATACCTTCTGCTGATTTTTTGCTTATCTTTAACTGCAATTTCTTTGGGTTAGAAATATGTTCTCATTAGTTTGTGAAATTCCATGCACATGGAATTATCAGTCAATTTAATGACTGCAAATCAAGAATAACAAAAGGATGTCTTTTTTATTATTAGTTAGTACTACCTAATAAGTTGCTTGTAACTAATTTTCTTCTCTCAAAAAAAGTGCCTGTTTAGTGAAATGCCAAAATAAAATAATAATAGTTTACTTTAAAATCATGACTGAAAAACCTGCCACACAATTTTACCTTAACTTTATTTTCATAATAAATAGCAGTTTTACATTTTCAAGTTGAATATCAGGCTGATCATTCCTGCAGCATTTGGAAGCTTTGTAACTTGTAAATGTAATTATTTTCATTCACCTGTAATGATCACAGGCCCTATGCAGTTTGTCCTTTAATTTTTCATTTCCTCAGTTGGAGAAGCTTTTCGTTAACTACACAGTCACACTTCCATTTTTTAGGGAACTTAAAAAAAATGTGGAATTGTGCAATTATAAAGGATTTACTCTTGTTTACATGTATGTGCACAGTCATGTGCTTACCTAATATGGTTCACACAGAACATTAAAAAATAAAGATGGGGAGAAAGCTACTGTAAACAGAAGAATACAGTTGGTTTTTGTGTAGTTTGTTTATCAAAGTGAATACCTAAGGTTAAAGCAACAAAAAACTTTAGACACCATACATTAGTTCCCCGTCTTCTAAGAAATACCTGCTGCTGTTTAGCATTGACTAAAGTAAAGTTCTTAAAGTAAAATTAAACTTTCCAAATTTGTATTTAAATTCTCAAATTCTAGCATATTAACAGGGGGTTTTTTATTTAGAATATGAAAGCAGAAGAGATTTCATTCCAAGGCATTAAGCAAAAGAACTGACTGCTTCTGGGAAATTATCTGCTGGTTGTTCACTCTATAAAACAGTTGAGGTGGAATCATAACAGATTTACATTAGACAATATTTAGTACACTTATCCTGGGATTTCTTGTACATCACACTCAGCACTGGCTGTAGAGACACCTTGTTCTACATATTCAGATGAAGTCTGCAGGCTAGCTGTAGAAAGACTCTCTTCCATGCTGTCAGATGAAGCTTGCAGTATTTCTGCAGCCTGCCTGTCTACCTTCTATTCCATCAGATGAGTGTTGGCTGGCAGTAGAGCTGTTTTCTTCTATGATAGTGCTGGAGATCTGCAGGTTAGTAGTGGAGAAACTTTCTTTTATAGTAACAGTTAAGTTTTGCATATTTGTTACTGTGGCGTTGTGTGTGCTGGATGCAGACATATTTTCTTTGATATTATTACAGGATGCTGATTGCTCACAGGTAACTTCAGGATTTTGCTCACGGACAACCTCCATATTTTGTGTTCTACCATCTGCTTCTAGGTTGACAGCATTCTTGAAAATAGCTCTCATGACAAGAGGGACAGACAAGCAACTGAAGAGGAAGTGTTTAAAACTTTATCCACTACTACAATGCTTCATCATTCTCCAAGTTAACCCACTCTAAAAAAAAAAGTAGTTTAACAAATATAAAGTCTTTCCTGGGGAAAATGTTATCAGAGTGCCTGTCACATTCTAACATAGAGCAGTTTTGGCCTCTTATTTGGCTGAGTGCTTTCCTACAGAAACTTTAACAACAGAAGCTAGAGGTATACTCAATCAGACAGTATCTAGGTATGTGGATTCTTATGTTCTTGATGCTAAGCACTACATGCAAATCCAAGTAAAATACATCTCATATCATTCAGTTTTGGATTTAGGATTTTACTTTAAAAATTGTCCACTTAACTTTTCATTAATTCTACAATTATAAAACGATACTGGAATTTACCCAAACACAGACTGTGCTGGCTTCATCAGTTTTTACTATTTCCTCCATTAAGCTAGATATAAAACTATTGATTCAAGCCTATCCAGCCTAAATTCTTCTTACTACTATATCACCAAATAGCTGTTTATTGACCTAGTTGAAGTGAATTTATGATCTCCATGTTTTTCTTAGTACATACATGTCCATGCTATAGCCTGCATTGGGAACCCAAGGACTGACTAGACATAGGACACTGAACTCTCTTACTTCCTGAAGGTGGTCCCCCAGAAAGGTAGGTGGTACTCATTGACAAGCCCAACAAAAAACCTTGCATTGAAGCCGTCAGTGCAGTGTCTGCTGGGTGAATAACAGGGCCAGAAGACCTAGCCCCTTTCATGAAAGTACCTTTTGAAAAGAGAGTCTCTTAATCATTAATATTTTTTTTTCCCCACTTCCTACTGGAAGGACTTTATAGTGACAGACAAGAAATCTATAAGTAAATATTGCTATAAATCAAATATGTTTAAGGAAGACTCTGACACCCTTTCAATAAAAAGGACTAAAATATTCTTAAGATAGTCTTAGCTCTATCTATCTGTTTTCCTCCTTGTGCTTTCACTTTAAATAGACGTATGTTTTACACAGATGAATTTTTGCATATTACTGTGTACTTTACTATTAATGGAAATATTTTTTATGAACAAGCATTTCAAAATTGGTGCCAAGCATTTTATTTTAAAACAATGCAACTTGAACACCTACCGCTCCACAACTCTTGTGATGAAGTCATTGCTGCAATTTAAAGTCGCATCTTGAGGATTTATATGAAGACTGCATTTGATTTCTTTGCAGCTCAAGACATTGATTACCACTGACCAAGAAAAAAATATGCCAACATTATTTGAAAAATGTCTATATCCATGATCAATTAATAATTCCTTTCAGTTCTAATATGCAACTTAAACTGTTGAACATTTTTAGCACTTATTTGTTACTATGCCAAAAAACTAATGCGTTTAAAATACCATGGCTGCAGTCCCTAATCCTTCTGATTTAAGTGTGGCCTCATCAGGGTACAGGAATCTGCTCATGTTCACCGTATTAAAGAAACAAGTCCATTTAGATGGACCTATGGCTTAACCCAGTACATGGCAATTCTTATGTTCTTAAGAAAACCTTAGTTTTTGTCTGTATTTTTTTTTTGTTTTAAGCTGTAGATGTAATATTTTTTGCCACATGTTATTTACACACAGAAACATAATCCTTATGAACAGCATTAGGTTTTAGAAAGTCACTATAGGTCTTCAAAGTTAGTATGTGGTATATGCTCACTACTGAATCTCCTGTTCTGAAACTGGGGGGAAGATAGCAATATAGAATAATCTATACATACCACAAGCTAAATTCACTCCTACAGGATGCTGGAATGAGATGGAAAAGCTGGTATCTTTTACCGGAGACACTTCAAAATAAAGTAGCTCTGAATAATCTGTAAATGAAATAACTAAGTTTATTAAACTTAGTCCATGTAAGTAAATTGTAGAGTAGTTCTAAACATTGGCAACTCCATCTTAATAGGTTTTACTGTAGTTTGCGCCTCTGAGGATTACGTAATGTGTCTAAAACTTAAGAATGTTACTTTAACATCTGTAACATACAGGGAGAGATTTACACAAAAATTAAGTATTCTGATCATTTAGAAACCAAGTCTTTTCAGGCACACTGTTGTAAAGGCTTCAGAAAAGGAAGCTGTAGGAGTGGTGACATACAACTTGCAAACAAATATAATTAGTTAAAACAGCATTACAGAGAAATATACTGTTCTTCCAGACATACCAGTTACCTTTGTTTATACTGTTCTCAGAGACACAGCTGCTAATAAGGGTGTTATAAACCATCTGATGCCGAAGAATATCTATTATAGCAGGCATGAACTTTGGATGGGTGAATGGAATTTTACTGACCAATGCTCCTGTGATCCCTGATTTTTCTGTGCCTTTATTTATGAAATAACTGTGCTTCGGACAATCTGGAAGAGACTAACAAAAAAAAAAGTATGCTTATTTTGTGAAGAATTAAAATGCGATGGCAAATCCTGATAATATCAGAATATTACATGGGACCTGATTCTAAAATAAATTTTACACAACATGTACTTGCCAAATTTGTCAAGCCTGTCTGCAACTCAACAAAATATCACTGAGGAAAAAAAAAAAAAAGAGATCACCTGAGACCATACTTCTTTCCCACAAAATATCTTACAACCTTGGGGAACATGCACCAGTTACAAGCCAATAAAGTATGAATTCTAGTTGTAGCTGTTGCACTGGTTGATGTTAAGAGTCCAAAAGGTCACAGAAATATAAATAACCAAGGCCTTTTAGCTTAGGAAAGGCAATTACAGTATCATTTAGCCACTCTGCAGATAAGGTAATAAAGGATAGGGGTAGAGCTGAGAACAAAACCCATATCTCATTCATTTCGCCATGTTCTCTACTGCAAGGAATAGGTTTGGCTGTTGTCTCTTGACTGTAGTTATACCTGACACATGGAAGATATCAATTTTTAGCTGATTTTTAAAATGAAATCCTTATAAATTTTAAAAAGAGGAAGCAAATTTTATCACCTGAAACCCTGCTTTGTTCAAGGTAATTTGTATTATCACAGAGCCCAGAGATACCTCACCACATAAGAAATTCCTGTCCAGAAGAGCATTCTGTCTTTTTACTCTTCTGTGAAATATGAATCATAATAACCAGAAGGAAATATGATTACATCCTGCTTGCCACCAAACAACTTGAAGTATACAGACTACTCCAACCTCTGACCTAATTTGCATAAAATGAACTGTGCCAAACAGGAGATTTTACCACACCTTCAACTTCCCTATGAAATATGAACTTTCATTTCTACCGAGGAAAACTTTTACAGTCTTTTCTCCTATGCCTGAAGAATGGTGCTGGTGCCTGAAAGCTTGCAAATAAGGATTTTTTTTTTTTTTTTTTGCAAAAATCTAGTTGGTCTAATAAAAAGACATCACCTCTACCATGAGTTCTGATTCCTTCTCTCAGTCAGTCATTTCAGTATCCAACAGTGTAACACACTCTAGCATATCTTTATGTAACTCAGTAGTAGAAGTATGCACTGCAGTTACTCCTGTGGATGTGGGGGGGGTAGGTCTAAAGACAACAACAGCTGTTTCACCCTCCACCTACTCCTGTACCTAGTACAACAGTATTCATCAAAGCCAACTCATTGAGGGGAGAAATTACAAGTGCAACCCTTAATTGGTATGAGGTGCCTGGAGTAATTGCAACTCATTTGTATTATTTCATATAGTAAAAAACCTATGTATACAGAAGTGAAGTTAGCTACTGTTGTTTAAAAATTCTGGTTTTGATCTGTGTGAGCTATCCCTTTAAGAACAGGGCAGGATACTTAATTGAGAGGGTGTGTATTAAAGAGAGGGTATAAAATGAAGGAGATTTTGCCAGAGTCCACTAAATGAAAGACCCTGCCAGCCTAAGATCTAAGAAGGTAAGAACTTGAAAGGAAGCCTTAATTATTCTAGTTGTACAATTAGTTTAATGAGATGGATCTTCTCAGGACACTGCTAATGAGCTGTGGTCTTTCAGCTCTATGCAGTTTGGATATTCAGGCGCTCTTATGTAGAAAGACTAGGAATTGCAAGCTCCTATGTATTGCAACTACAGCTACCATACTGCAAACTGACCAACCTGCCCTGCACTGTTAGCCAGACTCAGTAAGAGCTTACGCAAGCTCAAAACACTGAATTATGTCTGTTACTTGTAGAGGAAGTGCCTTATTTTCCAGCTGTCTCTGCTATCAGGCTGAAGGTATGCTTCTCCCTTTCAAGCCTTACAGTGTTAGAGGTTACGATTATTTGTAACTAGGCAAGTTAATTACCGAGACTAAAGTACCACCAAAATACAAAAAGTAATGACAAATTGCCTTCAAATACTATTTGCCACATATCTTCAATAAACACCTTTTTAAAAAAGGTATCACACTGTATAATAAAAGTAACAAACTGAATTAAATTTTATTTTTTTCTGAATTTTGTTTTAATAAAGAATATAGCAACCAATTTACTGCTCTAGCTATCATATGGTAGAGAACATCACAATTGTTAGTACTTAAAATGGAGTGGCAGATACACTCTATGCTCAAAGATTGTTTTAGGTTCTTTTGGGGTGGGGGAGACGGGGCTTAAATAAAATCTCTTGAGAGACAAGCTATTTCCTACCTAGCTTCACACTAATTGCTCACAACCCCAGTTGAGAGATTAGTGAGAAGTTGGTGAACAAATTTAGCTGGTTAAATGCGTTTTGAAAAAAAACAATATTAACTTCAATAACCATATTCAATGCAATGTCTTGGTTTGAGCTGCATTTAATAATCTTTAAATATCTCAAAATAAAAAGATAGCGTGTTACATTCTAAATTTGTATGAATTCTCCCTCATGAGCGCTTGATTCCTGTTCGTATTTCTGGATATATACCTTGCTTACTGACAGAAAAAAAAAACATTTACTTAATCACATAAAAGCATACACTCTGAATAAGAACAACATGGACCTACATTACAAATAACCGGGGGGGGGAGCCAGAAAATACTTACCACAATAAAATAAGAATTATTTATGGAACAATCCTCCTTGTACTTCCCATTAAGGGTAAATTGAACAATCAATTCATAAAGAGGAGCTAGTGTCGGGGCAACAATGGGAATGCCTTTAAAAAAAAAAAATTTTTTTTTACTAATGTTTCTGAATTATTCTGTAGTCCATTATTAATACAATTGAAAACATTGATCCGTTTTGACATAGGCTCATCAAAATTAAAATAGCCAAGTGTTAATCCAGCCCCATCCTTTACATTATCATTGGGGCACTGAAGTGTAAATTACCCAAGTAACTCACCCAGTAATAGGGGATTGTTTTTAATTGAGATTGCCCAAGTTTAAACCTAGTGGAGTTTACCAATAAGCCCATCCCTCTACGTTCTCATTTCTCTACTTAAACCTGAAAAGTTCTTATTTATCCCTGCCTAATCGCATGAAAAATGTGGTAGTCAGACCTGAGCTGTTAAGAAAACGAAAGGATTTTCTCTTAGAGAAGTAGTATTCAGGTTTTCTACCTGTCCTGTAACATTAGAATGAGTAAGTGAAAAACAAACAAGCTATGAAGAGTTGTTAAAAATATTTAGTCTTACACATAATTAAAACATGCCTGTAAGCTTCTCTATCTTGTTAATACTGGATGAAGATATAGGGGAAGGCTGGTGAAACTTCAAGAAAAAGCAAGCTGGCAAATCCATGCCAAGTTCATCACTCAGTGTTAAAAAGACCGGCTTTCTGAAGAAAAGGATAGAAAGGAAGTTGTTACAGAAACAGAAGCAATGGCGACTATGTACAGTGCAAAATTAAGACACATCTAGTACATAATTCTATATGTACCTATTCTGGATAGGTTTTTCTTCCAACCTCAAAAGTCTTCCTCTAAAAAATGCAAGTAAAGATCAGATATCAAAGCAAGACCTGCATAAAAACTAACAGAGGGCCAGCGAGACCCAAGAACATGCAGAGCAGCATATAAAGATTCTTGCTTTATCTGTTTATTACGGTTCATTGAAGAAAAACTGTCCCTCAAGACTGACTTTTTATTGTGCCAGCAATCCGAGAGAAAACACCACTTTCCTAGAGGAAGTTTAAGCCAAGGACATGAAATATTACATACAACTCAACTATAATGAATTGTCATACATCTACCCTATTTCCATTTAAAAGTATGGACTTCAAGCAGGAATTACTAGATGAAGTTTTATAGCCTTTGTTATAAAGATGGCCAGACAAAATCATCACATTGGACCCTTCTGGCCTCAAAAAAATCTATGGTTGTATGCACCTCAGACATTTTACACTACATTTGGGGAAGCTGTCAAAGCCACAGATTATTCGGAGTACTCCAAAGAATATAATGCAATCAATAAATTATAGTTGCTCAAAAGCTTGCATCTCATATATAATCATAGAATCAATAGAAATTGTGTCAGAGGTGAATAATATAAGTGGACCTGCAAGTCACTGATGTGTTCAGAAGTGTCAATAGTGCCTCTGAATCTCACCCGTCTTCTGTCTGGGAATCCTCAATCAATGGAGAAATAGGAAGCTTGTGTGTTGTGTCTGAACCTCCAACAGTTACAAACAGCTTTGTTCCACATATATGTGAGCCTGAGGGAAAGGGAAAAGACTGTTTTGTGCCATTGTATTTATTTGCATATGACAGTGTAAATGACTATAGTATAGAACTTGTGAAATGTCAGGTTGAAATGTTTGGAGCCCTCTAGTCATCTACAGAGCTGGCACAACCCAGGCTGCTGCAGCATAAGCTTTCCTTCACCATTTGGTCCAAGACTGCTTTGACAACTGCCAGGTAGCATCAGCTGTGATAGTAGGTTTACAGGTTACAAAAATTAATTGCCAGCAGACAGACAGGTTCACCACAGTCCCATTGTATGACTTGATCACTGCTAGTTCAAATTCAAACCAATGTGGCAACCCAACAGCAGAAAAGTTCTCATTTCCTTATTCATCTTGTCCTTACACTAAAGCATTTCTTACTTATGAACACCTGAGATATACTTAAATAAAATCAAGGTTTTGCATTACTGCTAAGTTCACTTAGCAATTTTCTGCTAAAAAAATTGTCATTGAAAAAACAGTTACTTCATTTTCAGAATAAAGCTCTTATTAACTACAACTGATTCTTCTCAAATACTTGTAAAAACTATAATTTAGTCAGCGGGGGGAGCCAGGGGAAAGAGGAATACATTTAAACAGACAAAACAATTAATCATCATTTAAATTTTACCAGGGTTTAGTTCTTCTTCCAGAGCTTGATAGGGTGATATGTAAAATTCAATGTTCATAGGGGTTCCTAAAGTAGAAATAAAAATTACAGTTGGTTACTACAAAAATGTTACTTCCCCCAAGCAACAAAGGACTCCTTTTAAAAAGCAAACTACTGTGACACCTCTGCTTGAATTTGTACATTTTCCAAGTCACAATATTTGAGTTTTTAGCTCTCCGATGAATCAAGAATTGTTTAGAATTGGGCTATTTAAAATCTCTTGAAACATACATCATACTTCAACAGCCTTCTGTTCAAACTTAGCAGATCAGTAATAACTTTAAGTTTCCTGAAGTGACTCATCTCTTCTGGGAAAGGAAAGCTGTAATGCACAATCCAGGGCTATTCCCATGGAGCTGAGCAGCAGCTCAGTATAGCAAGAAAACATGCCAGAAGTACTCTTCAAAATGCATAGTCTTTCAAAAAACAGAACCTGCTGAGAGTTAAATCCTAGGGCTGCTGCCAATAGCCTAGCCTAAGTTGAAAGGTGCTACAACCCTTCAATTTGGTAACCCTTCTTTTTATAGACTAGCATCAACCTCTCTTTAGCAATTCTGGTGGGTGTCTTGCAGTTACTCCCAAAATGTGATTTCCCACCTGACCTCAATACTGGCAGTATTGCTTTTTGACTGGTGTGAAATCAGGCTGTTGAAGTCAGATCATTGAGGCCCAGACAGTTTTCCTGGGGTAGGAGCAAGGTGCATGTACAGAGCCTGGGAACACAGATGTTCAGTCAAACATGACTACACCAAATAAATATGCATGGTACTCAGTAATTAAGGATCTCAATTGTGAACTTTTTAACAAAAGTTGTTTACCTCCAGTTCTTGGGACAAGGTGTCCTACTTTTCCATGAAGTACTTCAGTAACTCTGTTGACATCCCGTGTGCTAATTTTATAAAACACACTGGTCAGTGGTTTTAGCGAAACAATGCTATTCAGGTCATTTTAAGCCTCAAACATTCTTTCTTCTCTTTGCACAGTGTTATTATGTTGCCTGCTGTCTGTAAGTAGGAACTTGCATGACTCTTACTGCTTAGGTTGCTAGTTAAAATTCTGTGATAGTCCCCACTTAAATAAGTATTTGTACTTGCTGCATGTTTAAAACTTGACGTGTTCTGAGCTTATATACCTTCTTTCACTGTCTAGGATATAAGGACTGTATTGGGATGACCAGTGCAAGGACAAGATGGGAGGCAGTATAACTGAGTGACCTGGATAAACTGGAACTCAAATGACTGTCACACCTTTCTCCAACTTCATCCCCTCTACAGGTGCAAGCAAAATAATGAGCTGCAAAACTTTAAAAGGCAGCTGAATTAAATCTACTCAGCTAAACAAATAGCTCGTTCATGAATTCACGATTAAGTCTGTCTGTGAATATCCTGAGCAGTTGTGACTAGTGAGGAACAGAGTATTTTAGTTTAAATAAAGAATGGTATTCTTATTAAGGGAACACCACACAAAAATAGGTTAACAATATGTTCCTGTACTACAGTGGAGCTCTGCTTGCTGAGGCTGTTTAATAGGCAAATCATCTGAAAGTCTTCCAACCCCTCTGCACCCCAACTCCTACTTCTTGGTTTGTTTGTTTGCTTGTTTTTATAAAAGGGCTAAAGCTGCCAACGGGTTTAAGGAGATCCACTGATGAATTGTCCCCTACCCGCTTTTAGTTTCACTGCTTAGAGAAAGATGTAGGCCTAGACCAGAACTTGGATAGAATATAAGGTCTCAACAACTACATTTTGCTTCTTCTGTAGGAAAACTTAGAAACTATCTATCTTTCTTCCATGTTAGTATATCCTGTCCATGTCTAATGGGTGTCCTTTCAACTGGCCAGTTCAAAGACAATTAAATAGAAGGCAAACACAGCCCATATTTTGTTTTCTACACCACCTGAAGAATTTTTTTTAAAACTCTCCTATCTAATTGTGTAATAGGACCACATAGGGTGGATTGCTATAGACATAGACCTTTCTGTCCAGCTGCTGGTAAGTTATACACCTGGACTGCAAGGATATCAACTTGTGAGACAACTTGCAGATCAGAAGATTTGCAATGCTACTACACTAACCACTGAGTTATTGCAAAGTTAGTGGAAATTAAACCACCTGAGGATCTAGCTATATGGCTTTCCTTATTTGACTAAACCCATGACAAAGATACCAAGCTTCCCATTGGGAGAAACCTCCGCATCTATCTACAATCCTCTGTATAATTATGTTAAACCAATGTAATAATTTCCAAGTCAAGTACTTTTTTAAAAAAATGCACCATGCAGTCTCAAAGTTACCTGTACAGAAGGGACATGGAACAGAGGTCTTTTTCCAGGGATTGCAAGGCTAGATACGCCTTAGCTTTCATATCACTGGGGAAAAGAACGTGGATTAAATAAATGGATCAACCACAAAGAAAAGCTAGTTACATTTAAAGGAAATACAACCTATTTCCTGGAATTTGGTACAGATTTGACAAGTCTTCTAGAATCTTTCCAAAGGCAGCATAGTCTTTCATTCTAAAGATAAAGAACAATTACTGCAGCCAAAATACAAAAGAAGATGAATTAAACATCATATAGCTTTCTATAGCATGTTGAGGACATTTCAAACAGTAACATGGACCTGATTATCAGATTTGGCATATCAAACACTGTTTTGAATATTTTCTTAGAAAAAGAGGAAGTATGAATTTTGGCACAGTTACACAAGTAATGCAGCTTAAGCAGACATCACTGGAATACACATTACTAAAAGCAATGCACATGCACCATTTTTGTATTTGACAGCTGGAAATGTAACGCATCAGCTTGGAATAGCATTTCTTAATGTTTCAATAAAGTTAGCCATATAGTATCACTTTGAGACTATGAACCCATACATAGTCTCTCTTATCAAAACATTAAGGTTTTCATTAATGTTACATCTCCTAGCAGCAATGTAAGAGACAAATCTTAAACATATTTCTATGAATAGGGAAATTAAAAAAAATACAAAAACAAACGGAGAATAAAGAACTTAACTCTGCGTGTTCTACATTCTTGCAGAAGGTTTATGTATTTCTCATAGACCAGTCAGAGGTTGCTCCAATCCAGGTAGGGTGCTGACAACAGCCTCACTCTGGCAGCCCT